GCTAACTTGAAAGAGCTCTATCTCCTACAATTCTGAAATGGGATGTCTAATATTTTAATCAGTAGTAGTGATCACTTAGGTCTACTCAGAAAAAAAATTTCAAGAAATTCTGACGTGTAGTTTTTGAGAAAACCGGTTCCCAACATGACGTTTTTTGGGACCGCCCTCCATCCCCTTTAGACCTCTTTGTCTAGAGCTTAGAATGCTTTGAAGAAACTTGCCATAGTGCGTTTGAATAAGAATAGTATAAACTTCATTTTGATTATAATATATTGGGGTCTCTAACTAAATGTATAAATTTTATAAGCAGTTCAATTTAAGTATAAAGTGCCATTTTTCTCAAATTTGCAAATGCTTCCAAGCAATCAGTTCTAGAGATACGATTCTGAAAAGTATTTTATATAGACAACTTTTTATGCTCTATCCAATGGCGGAATCGAAAATTCTAAGGAACATCCATGAAGAATGTAACAGACCGATTTCGGGGACCATTTTCTCATAAAATCGACTTTTGGACCTCCTCTTCTGCTATTAGCGCATAACTTGAGTCAAAACTGAATACCGTTTTCTACACAACTCGATGAGGGCCACAAAACTAGCATGGTTAAATCTTGCCGGAAGAATGTGCTGTAAAAAGTGGGCGGAGCTGCGTGGAAGTACCCTTATTTGATTTTCGATTCTGTCTCTTCACTTGAAAAGTAAGAATTTGAAAAAAGAAGTCTAGCATGCCCTGCATTGTGAGATGCTCTTTTCATCAAGAAGAAAACTAAAAATATAGAATGAAGGCCAGCGGAGAATTTTGAATTGTCATACAAACCCTTATTAACCCTTATTGACCCTTATTGGGTGAGTATCTTTCTAAAACGTCATGGTATGTGGCTGAAAATTCCACTATAACCTCTCCACAATAGTCCCAACATATCCTAAAGGTTTCATGCAATTTTCTTGTTCCTAACCTAAAATCAATTTTGAACAAGGATGGAATTGTCTTAAGTGTCCGGATACTTTTTGGTTTGACTGTATATTCCATAGATTTCAAGAAGACAGATGATATAACTCACATTAGATTTTAATACAGATATTAAAATAATAATTTGATACTGATTAATATTTATTTATTTTTTATAAACAGAGTAGAAAAATGGTTGATATTGACGCAAGAAATAAGAATACTCTTGATCAGAGGTATATTTGCCCTATCTATTCATATATATTACGGGATCCTGTACAATTGAGCATATGTGGCCATCGACAATGTCAATCATGTTTTGAGAGCCGAGCTGGGTAAGTTTCTTTATCGAATAAATTCAGCAATCTTTTGTTTTTATTTATAGATCCATACTCAAATGTCCACAGTGCCAAATAGAAATACGACGAAATCAAGTGTGATGTTTATTTTTGTTTAAATAAAAAACATAATACATTTTGATGTAGATAATGGCTGATTGAGGTTTTAAAACTGACATGCACTCTCTACCCATTGATTGTTCTTTTTGTAATTGGACTGGTGACTTGAACACGTATCTAGTAATATATCTTTTGGCTATCTTATTCTCAAATTTTCTGTTCTTTTCTTTCTGCCACCAAGATTCATTTGAATCAATTTCATTCGAGGCCAAAATGCAAACATTGTGAGGAAGTATTCGACTCAGTCAACAGACTCAATGAACATAAAGTGTCGCAATGTAAAAAAGTGACCATAGACTGTGTACTGAAAGACTTCGGTTGTGGCAAACAAGTACAAAAAAATCTCGAGCTAAAATTTATATATCTAAAAATGCATTTTGTTTAGATTCCTCGTTGCAAAATGGCAGCTCACTATTTGAGTAAACAACATGAAGACTCTGTAATCAAAGTTCTTCATCAAATAGAAACACAGTCGTTAAGCACACAAATGGATACTGATTGTTAACGGTGGTTCACACTGCCTACCCTCAATTCTCTTTCTTTTTCTCTCTCGCTTCTTCTTTCTACTGTATCGTTATTGTTATTGTCGTTTCTTCTTCTTTTTCTCATGTTCTTCTTCTCCTCTCTATGGATATATATATATATATATATACCTAGTGATTTAAGGACATTTTTGAAGAGATTTAACATATGAAAGAATAAACTAAGTTAAGCTCGTTGAAATGAGCTAACATTGGTGCCGTGACCGGTCTTCTTCTAATTACTTCATCGAAGAAGAACCAATTTGTCACATATAATTATAATACATCAATACATGCAACAACAAAACAAACACCATTTGAAATGATGCATGGACGACAAGCGACTCTTCCATTCGATCAATAAAATAAAATTATTTCGCTCACACAAGATCCAGAGCACAGTCAAAAAATTAGAATATACCTTGAAAAATTAGTACATGAAGCTCGGAACAATATTATTAAAAATCAACAACAATATAAGGCTCGATATGATTTAAATAAACAAGATTTATTGTTAAAAGTTAATGATTTATTTTTAATAAAAACAAGAAATGTTAGAAACAAATTTGATATACGATATGAAGGTCCATTTAAAATTATTAAACAATTAGGACATAAAACATTCATTGTTCAACACGTAAAAAAATTAACATTAACAAGACAAGTAACAATGGATGTTATCGTTCCTTTGATGGAATAATGGAATTTAATTTAATAATACACATCCCAAAAGGGAGAGATGTGGGATATGATAATATAACGAGTAAAGTATGTGCATCGATAAAAGTAAAAAAAAAATTTTAGGGTGTTGGTGTGGGGGTGTGGGTTGGTGGGTGTGTGGGTGTGGGTGTGGATGTGGGTGTGGGTGTGAGTGTGGCTGTGAGTGTGGGTGTGGATGTGGGTGTTGGTATGAGTGTCAGAAAATAGAACATTATAACCCACACCCACACCCACACCCACACCCACAGCCACAGCCACAGCCACAGCCACAGCCACACCCACACCCACATCCACACCCACACCCACACCCACATCCCATCCACACCCACACTTTTTGGGGTACGGAAGTAATCTCCTAAATCCTTTTAAAGTGTTTTGGAAAATGCAACGTAGCCTAAACCCTTTAAGGGTTTATTATCCTACGCTTTTTTTACAGTGTCTGCTAGGTGCTCTCAGTATTATGTTAATCATTTTTGAACAAATCGTGATAAAAATTTCGGCCTTTCGTAGATTTGTAGATCGTCAATCGGTGGCTCTAGTAGAGTTCAGAAAATCTAAGATTCATCCTATCTTTATAGAGTTATAGTCTTCTTTTTAAAGATGACTATGGATAAGTACTTGTTTATGAACCGAACTTAAAGAAATTTATATCAATCGATGCAGTAAGAAAACCTCTTTTGAATGCCGAAAACTTGAACTGGATAACACGAAACGTTCCCAAGTTATTTGAAAAATAACCCGCAGCCTTCCTTTTTGAAATGGGCATTAGTTTGTTTTCAAAACAAATAGATTTATTTGATGATAAAAATATATCTTAACATAATTTCTGTGATCCTAGAGCACTCACAACATCATTATCGCTCGAAAAACGAATCCTTTATTTCTTTGCTTTATTTTTATTTTTTAAAGATAAATGATTAATTTATCGTTATTTATTAAAAATAAATGATTCATTTATCTTTATTTTATAAAGTAATAGTAAAGTACCACCCCTAAGTTAATGTGAGTCTCTTTCCATGCGCTTTTGTCTTTGTGTATGCGCAGAATATTCTACAGATCGAAGAATTGTATGATGTCATAAAGCAGTCCAGAAGTAGACTAGTCAAAACTAGAGAATTGTGTAAACCCAAAACAGTACGGTATCTTTTTTTTGTCTTACAACTTTTCTTTTATTGTGTAGTTCTTTGAAAGCGTATCAATAAATGATAGAACGTCTTTTTGATGAAGATTAACACAGTGCTATATTTGCAATTTGTAGACATGTGGATTTACTCAACCTAACGAATTAGCAAAGAGTTATGGAGTTTTTTTATAATGATCATTATGATACATGAGTGTTGTCAGTACAGTTCACTCAAACTTTGTCCAACTGGCTAAGAAACTAACTACATATATCTGAGAAAGCTTTTCTCAGACGGATTCATTCACTTTCGTTTATACATTTTGTGATGAAACCTTAAGTTTTTTCAATATCACCAGTTGATTGAAAAATCTCTGATTTAGGAATTACACTACCTAAAAATATGTTGCCATGTTACTAGAGAAAATATGTAATAGAGCTCAATGAAAATGAAAAAATAGTCAACGAAAGTTTTAATCTTAGTAATTTTGTTCGTATGGAAAAGTGAAAATGATGAACAAAGAGTGGAAAAACATTGAACAAAACGTGAAAACTTCAATGTCATCAGCTTCTGAATGTTTATATCCTTGATGATAATCATTATCATCATGTTGTAAATGTTGATTTTTATTAATTAGTTTTCGACCTGTTGATATCAGGCCTCGAAACGAGCCGCCCGGCATCTTATTTAAATTTAATGTATTTTATATCTGTCATATAAAATTCAAATTACTGAAAAAGTTTACGAGAGAAAAAATATTCGAGTTCTACATTGAAATATTTTTAAAAAACATAATAACATCTCAAAGAAATTGTATGTCTCGATCATATACTTTATTCTGTAGTATATTAATCACATTAATTACTATGAGAATATGATTGACAGAAGAAATGTGTCGAAAGCAAACCGTCCTTGATAATTACCGTTATAAATGACAGTTTATTCAACTCTTAAACTTTGATTAACTAGTAATTCAATAGGAAGTGTACCATTTTTTTGAGTGCACGCTCTTTCTAGTTCGGGCATTTAGTGAAGTAAGACTTATATAAGTCGAAAGTGATCTGTATAAAAAGTAGAAAATATTGTCACATAGTTTCCAGATCTAATTTATTGTTTTTAGAAATAACTTATTTTTTATATATTCATGTCAAACTTGTGATAGCAACGGCAAGTTTGGCAGATACATATTAAAGCGGAGTTAGAAATTTTCTAAAGCTTATTACTGCAGATATTTATAATTATTTTTCATACAGCATTTTTTACTGCGCACTATCTCATCGAATGATTTTCATCGCAAAAACTTTCAACTAGTAGTATACTACTCTTTTCGTGCCCTTTTTTTACTAGAGAAACAGTGCTGAAGGACATCCAGTTACACAAAACAATCGTTGTTGACTTTAAAAATCTTCGAACATCTTTTGTTTGTTCGTTTGACTCAATAAGCAGCTCGATTCATCCCATATTGATTTTATTTCTATCTCAGCAATCTGACTAAAAAATTCCCTATAACATTCGGACCATATACTCTTAAAGACGTTGTTAATCATGCATGTAATTTTCGAATTCTGGCATGAAAAAATGTCCCTAAAAAAATCTTCATCGAGCCTGGGCCGGGTCGGGCTGCACTAAAATTAGAACGGGCCGGGTGGGCCACCACTTTAGCTGGGCCGCATTGGGCCGGACTGGGCCATAAAAACGAGGCCCGTCACGAGCCCTGGTTGATATTAAATGTATTGGTTGAAAATTCAGTATTTGGATAATATCTGCAAGCAAATATTCTCGAACATTAATTTTCTTCCTTGAACTGTTAATATTAAACTACCAAAAAAATACTGATGAAATAATGTTACATCATTTGTTGCTAAACAATTACAAAAAATAAATGTGGAAACGTCGGATTTAAATCCGAGAGTTATGTGTACTTCAAAAAGTGAATGAGACAGATGAGTCGTTCTAGAATGTGGGAATATAAAAATTATCCTGGCAAACCTTGTCTATAAACACTTGATTTCTATTGGCTAATCCTCAACCAATAGGATTTGGGGATGAATGCAGCTCAGATTTCAACTCTTCACCTTGATTTACCCTAAGAAAGTCGTTTTTCCTATAACTTGATTTCTATTGGCTACTATTCAACCAATGACATTTTGAGGCGAATGGAGCACAGACTCGAGTTCTCCACTCCAGAAAACCTCGAACTATCATCTCTATGATCGGAAGATAGAGCTCTATTTGTGGATCAATTAGAGCATGGACAAGAACAGAACCGAATTCCGTTTAATTATCTTTGTAATAGATGAGTTGGCTTTCTTGTTTCTTTATGTTTTATATACCATTTTGTAGCTCGTGAAATTCTCTATCGAATGGTATATAATAGTTAGGGTTTTATTTGACTATGATAGGAAAAGTTTTTTACGAAAGCCGGGATAGGTCGATTCTCGCATGGGTGGGAAGGCATTGGGAAAAATGACTATTTTTCCAATAACTCAGCAACAGCTCAACCAATCCTTCTCATCTTCTAACTCGACAGAGATATTGTTGAGACTAAACTGTGTAGAAAATTTCATCGCAATCGGACTCTCCTTTCAAAAGTTATCGTGTAAACGGCCGGACGGCCGGACATGCTGACCGATTCTAGAGTGTACTCACTTTTTGAGTACACAATAAATAAATCGTTTCCTATTTTAAATATTGAAACATGTTGCACATTAGAATACTAAACGTTGGATGGATCACAAAACCTGGTCTGAAACTTGAACAGAAAGCAGAGTCTGGCAGAAGTCCTGTTGCATACCACTACCACGATCAGCATTTGGATCGGGTCTGAAGCCAAGGCTGCAATGGAAACTTTAGTCTCAATCCTGCTCATTCCTTGAGAAACCCTGGAAGGATCTTTCAGAATCCTGAATATCAAGGATCCTATCAAGTTTTATTCAGGGTCCTGTTTCAAATCCTGGCAATTCCTGCTTCCAGGATTTTTCAAGGTGAAACAGAATCCTGTTCAGGATTTCTTCAGGTTCCTGCTCAGATTTTTTCTGAGTTGCGAATATAGGATCCGACCAGGATTTACTCAAGATCCTACCAATGATCCTCTCAAGATTATGACAGAGGATTCTGTTAAGATTTTATCAGATTTTCGTCAGGGTCTAGATCAAATCTTCGTATCAGGATCCTTCCAGGACTGATATTCACATAAGACGAGGATCTTGGCAAGAAAATAACAAGATTAATAAGAGTACAAAGCCGATTAATCTCGGAAAGTTTCAATCAGAATCTTATTAAGAACCTTTCAAGAATATGTGTTTCCACATTTCGCAAGACAGTATCAATTTTAATCAGAATATTGATAAGAAAATATGAAGATTTAGAAAAGATCTTTACAGGAGACTGCTTAGTTTCTTCAGTTATGTGTATTTCTTGAGAGAACTTCGAAGGATCTTTAAGAATCATATATCTTAAGCATCCTGTCAGGTTTGATTCAGGATTCTATCCAGAATTGGTTTAAGTTCTTGCTCGGACTTTTTTTGCATCGATATTGCAGGATTGTATCAGGATTCACTTTCGATCCTATTCAAGAATCTTACAAAAGTCATAAGAAGGATTTCATCAAGATTTCATTAGATTTGAATCAAGATCTGTTTTGGACCCTGTCAAGAGTTATGTTATATTAGGAAAGGATCTTACCAGAAATAAAAGAAGATTAGTGAGAATCCTCAACTGAATAATCCTGCCAAGCTTCGATCAGGATCCTGCGAGGAACTACTCAAGAACAGACATTTCAAACCCTTAAAAAAAGTACAAGTATAAGCAGGATCTTGATAGGAAAATACGAGGATCCAATCAAGATCTTTCCAGGTTTGTGTTTAGAGACTATTCCAAATTTAATTTTCAGGATGCTGTCAAGAACCTAGCAAGAATGAATGAAACAGCTTCTTCACGTTATTAGCTAGGTTTAGATCAGAATTCGTTCAAAATTTGTAAATCTATAGATCACAACAGAATTTCAATGCCAATATTGAGCACAATCTCAACAAAAATAAATAGAAGGAATTTTATAAGATGTTATTGGATTTTTATTTAGAACACGACAAAATTCTGATAACTGAATAATCTACTAGCATTTCTATTCTGATCCTGATTTGGTACTTTGAATAAAGAAATAGAACGAATCTTAAAAATCTCAGAAAAATATTTTCTAAACCTCTTTAAAATTTATATAAAAGTTGCTTTGAGATTCGAGCTGCAATATGAAGTTCTTTTTTATCTTTTCAGGAAGATAAAATTGAAAATCATTAAATTAGGGTGCGAATTTGAATTTAGTCATTGTAAATTTTTTTTCCTTAAATATATAATTTTAATCAATAGCAAATCTACTGATAAAAACTCCTTATAGTTTTCCTTATGTTCAAAAAAAAAAGATTCGAAATATTTTTTTTCAAACAAATTGAAATTAAAAAAAATTCGCAATTTATTTGTAAAATCCAGTTAAAATAAAAAAAATTCGAAATATATTTTTTAAATCGAATTAATATTCTCAAAAATGATAAAATTTCAATAACTAAAATAAATATGTAAAATAATATTCCATTTTCAGAATTTTGTTGAAATAATTTCTATGTACATAAAATTCAAATAGCAGTTTACATTAAAGTCAGAAATGAAGATACTGAACGTTGAAGTGATATAGAATGACATGGCACATCCAGCTGGGTAAGCTGATCGGTATGTAAACTGAAGGTCTAGAGATCAATACTCTATGTGTTCATGTCTTTTCTCTTCTCTTTAGATCATCCTGCAAAGATCCTGCCAAGAAACCTGATAACATTCTGAAAGAAATCTTGATAAATCTTGACAAGATCTGGTCAGGAAATATAATAATATATTAGATGAAACCTACTAAGATTCTGAAATACGTAAATAGAATTTTTTCATTGGGAATCATCAAAATCACGACAAGATCCTTCTGAGATCTTGTTTGAATTCCTGCACAAATATTGAAGATTTCACGGCTACACGTTTCTTTCAGGATTTAGGATTTCCTGGCCAGATTCCTGATTTTAGATCTAGTGGTAAACTGTTCAGGATCTTGCTTAAATCCTGTTCTTAATCCTGCCAGGATCTTGAAATTTCACGGCTACGTGCTTCTTTTAGGATTTCATCATTTCCTCTGGAAAAAACAGCGAATCCTTGCGGGATCCTTGACGGATCTGTGAAGCATCTAGAAAGGAAACATCAAAGATTTTCCCTAGGGAAACGACACCGTGGTCGTGACAGAGCCTCCAAGCGAGGTGCAAGCTGTAATGGCTAAGTCGATGGCAGCAGAATCTTTCGCTACTTTCGAGATCCTTACTACCCAGTCTGAAAGTTAGACGAAAAGATGGGTCTGGCTAAACCTGCATTGCAAACTGCCATCTCCATAGACTTTGACCTTTGATCTGAAGACGGAAATGTAACCAATGGTGCAACTGGGACTGTGAGTTGCATCTAGCGGCGGCGCCAGGAATTTTTTTTGGGGGGAGGGGTTCAGCTCCCAAACTCTCAAAATGTTAAAAGATGTAATGGAAGTTTTCCAAATTTCTGATTAGTTAAAGAATGCTATTTGATCTACATAATACATCCATACCTATGTGTAGAAAACTCAGTTATTTTTATTGATAACTTCTAAATATACAATTTAACTCAATAAAATTCTACAGTTCTTGTGGTAGCTTGAAAATTTATCTATTACTCGTTCGTAATTTATATCAAAACCATGTTAAACAGCAGGTACTGTTAAGTCACTTAGAAAGGTATCAGTCATTGAATTTCGAAGATAGTTCTTGATTATCTTCATCTTTGAGAAAGATCTTTCACAAATTACTTGTAAAATCGGCATTGTTATGGCATTTTTAATCATTTTTAATATTTGTGGAAATGCATTTGAAATTGGAATTAATCCATTTAAAAATTGAATAACGTCATTGATAGGTTTAGACTCAAGCATAGGCTTAATAACAACGAATTCATTTTTTAATGCACTTAAATCACCGTTAATGTGACGGCTAAATTCATCTGTATCATCAACATTCAGAAAACTTTTACGTCCGGGATAAACTGTAGAGATACTTTTCATCAATGATAACATTTTTAATGAGAATCTGTCGTTCAGTCCTGAAAGCATATAATCAATTAATGGAAAATAAATTTGGTTAATACAATCTGTTGATGTTGATAATATTTCACAGTTGTCCAACTGTTGAATTGATCAAAAATTCTTGAAATTTAGCTGGAATTGTTGTTTTACGATGTGATTGATAATGTTGTATAAAGTCGATATAATTTACACTACAAAATTCTTTTGCTTTATCATAAATTTGATAAAATGATAGTTCATTGCGAAGATCCTTTATCTGTTGCATAACAGATATTATAAGACTTTCACCACGTACATAATCTAAAGACGATCCTTCAGAAAACTAAATATAATAGCGTCTTCAGTCTTAAAAAAACAAAGATCGTGCTTTTTAAGTCATCACTTAAAAATTTAATTAAACTAAACAATTCATAAAGAATGAATGACGTGATGATGAAGATGGACTTTTTGATATGCATTTATTGATCGTAAACCACTACCTTCTTCACTAATATCACTAGGTACTTTAATAATTGCAGGAAAAGTATTAACAACAGCATCGATGGCTCTCCATCTTGAATCCCAGCGTGTGTTGACCCATAACTTGAGTGTAGATGATTGAACTATAGGATGAAAATAGAATAAAAAAGGTAATTTTTTCAAAAAATTTGAGTAGAATAATCACCTAAACCTAGCCGTTGTTGTGCTTGTTTAAAATATGTACTAGTCACACCAGATTCAGTGAAAAATGAATAAATTTGTGCAACAATTGAGAAATAGTCCGAAACATAACATACAATTTTACAAGTATCATTGATAACAAGATTAAAACGGTGAGCAGAACAATGAAGATATATACCCTTAGGCATATATCTTCTGAGTAGAACATGAACTCCTGCATAACAATCTGACATAACCAATGCTCTATAAATGTGAGACAAGGACGGGCTTTAACACTTGTTAGATTAAGCTGAAACAGGAAAACAACTCACCCATCGAAACACAGACAAATGCACGATTTTAAAGGAATTTTTCAGTTTTTAAAACTTCAACAATTTTATTTGCTAATGTTACAGCATCAAATTCTTGTAATGGAACAAAGCCAAGTAAATATTCTTCCACGACGTTTGAACTATTAATTGTACGATTACTTAGATTGCGAACAAATCGAATGACTATAGATAGTTGTTGTGTACCACTTATGTTCCGACACTCATTAGCCATTGATGCGTAATTGCTGTTGTTTAACTAAGAACATTTACAGACTAACTTAGTTATAACGAATAATTAAACAAACTTGTCTTATCATGAATAAAATCTCTTCACGAATTTCATTACTCATAATATGAAGTAATTCGTTCTGAATATCATGCCTCAAATAATTAGCATTGCACATAGAATCTTCAAAAAGTGATTTTACTATAGGATCAGTTGTTACTGCCCAACGAAGAATCTCTATGAAAATACCTTGATTCGAACTACTGCAAACAAGAAGAAAACAAACAAAAAGACTTTTAGAAAAAAAATTCATCATCTTGAAAACTTGTTTTCCTTTTCTAAATTTGGGTAACTCATTGCTTCTAGTAATTTTTGATGCATTTTATTTTTTACCAAGAGTTTTCTAACCCTTCTAAGAATGAGTTGGATTGACATACTGCTCATTCTCTTCATGTCCTTGACAACTAATCATTTGACGTGCTAATAAATGTAATGTTGAACAAATCTTCGTAAGATGACCATCATTTTTACGAATTCGAGTAGCACGACCAGAATCCAATTTGTTAATCACATTTGAATTAGTTTTCTTCTCGTGGTTTATATGATAAATAATTTTTTTGTTGCAATTATATGTGATTGAGATAATGCATGTTTTATTAAACCACTACCTATCTCCAACACATTTTTCCAGTTGTTAAATCCTGAAGTGGTAAAAACATTACCGATATTTTATTTATTACAAGAAAAATGACGACAATGATAACAATAGCATGCATCATTTGGTTGAACAGGAGAATCATTACATGTTGCATTGATATCATTTGGAATACATTTTGTTCCAGAATTTTCATTTAAAGAACTAGAAACTGTGAGAGAAGATGATGAAGTGTCAGAAACAAGACTACATGCAGTTTGATCACCAGAGAACGAAGAAGGATGATGAGAGTTTTGAAATTCAGATGATGACGAAGAAGATGAAATAATAATGTTCGATTCTATTTGTTGTTGATCATTACGTGGTTTCTTCTAAGAAGAAAGAAAAAAGTACTCTATAGTTCCATGTTTGTTAGGATGAAGTTTTAGAGATTATGATTTAATCTCGAGAGAGTGATTTTTAGTGTGGTTGCAGCGAACAGCTAATAGAAAACTGGACAAAAGCCTTTGCAGCTTAGAAAACGGTTTTTTACGATATGACTATGAAAGATTATCAATTCTCTGTAAAATTTTAAAAAAATACGGGGGGAGAAAGCTAAGCCCTCCTTGGCGCTGCCACTACTATATCTTATCTCATATGTAGAAGGGATGTTTGCAGCTTGGTTCCAACAGGATCAACGATATCGAGCAGTATCCTATTGTTTGTGAAGCCTTAATATTTTATCTACCTTGTACAACGATGAAGAAAAAAACAAATTAAACCATTGTATAGTGCACATTTTTTTAACCTTCAATTTATTCTCTCTCTCTTCATCGCTTAAGCTGTTCGATGGATGAATGAGAGAACAAGCAAAACAATGATAATATAGGTATGAAAAAAAAATATCTCAATTATATATGATCATATGCTACCTTACGTATATGGGTGAATGCACACAAGCAGATTTATTTTGCACTGCATACATAGACACTATAATACTTTCATTTTTTTTTACAATAACTTCGATTCATTGTACCATTAGTCTACTCGTCAGCGCAGAATACTTCGCAACAATATATTGAAGAAACGTAAGTTTTTTTGAAATTAAATCCTCTTCAGAAAACTTTTTTCATTATCAATATCCAGCGGATTTTTCTATCCTTAACTGATACTACTTTCGAGGGGACATTCTTAAGTGTTTTGCTCCGTTTATATTCAGATTATTCCTATGCATAGGAGATCACTAGATCAGAATAATCACCAAAGGGTTCGTGCTCTTGTTGAGATTTGGCCAAAATATCGAATTTTTAGTGGATTTTTTCTATGGGACGTTAGTTTTCGAGTAAAAACATATCTTTGAAATTTGATCAAAAACTTTGTCAGTATGAAGGTCTTGCTATGACCAGCTCATGTATAAAGTTTCATCATTCTTGAACATTGCGTCATTGATATATGAATTTTTCAAAATATCAATGCTTTACATTGTGTATATCTATTTAATAGTACCTTTTTTGAAAAACTTGTATTTCTAACATGCAATGTCTAAAAATGATAGAACTTTATATATGAGCTAGTCATACTAAGATCTTCATGTTGATAAAATTTTAGACCAAAATTTAAAGATATGATTTTACTCGAAAATCAACATCCTATTGGAGAAATCCGCTAAAAATTAGAAATTTCGGCCAAATCTCAACAAGAACACGAATCCTTTAGCGATTATTTTGATCTAATGGATCCCTACATATGAGCATAATATGAATAGCAGACATTAATTATTGTAATGCCACTCTCCTCACCAAGCGTTCGTAGTAAGAATTGTCAATACGTTTTGTGAGTTTCAACGTAGAAAAAAACCTTTCACAATTGTATTCTTTTAGTATTCGAAGAGATTTGACCTCGCTAAAAATCAGATATAGTGCTGTACAGAAAACAAGTGCTTCAGAAAATTTGCGTAGAAGGAGTTCTCTTTAACTGGATTTTGTGGAAGAGTGTGCTTAGGCTATTGTTTTCAGAGCGAATAGTTTTAATACATAATAGCTGTTTTTGCATTATCAACAAAATTCGAGCCGATAGGTCTTGAAAAAATCGTATTCCACCTAAAATGCTTCTGTAGTTAGAATTATGCGGAAAATTTTCAAATCATAATGATGAAGTGAAATAATAGAGTCATTCGGTGCTTATGCTACCCAAAATCTCATGATGAAGCTAAAAAGCACAAGAGATTCTTCAGAAAAAGAAAATGAGCACGCAGTCTGAAAAAAGGATGATTTCATTGAAATACCTCTAGCTCTGAAATTTTGCTGTGTATTTTTTGGTCGCGCCGGACGATCATAAGTGGAGAGCAGTTTAATTTTTTTATAGTTTCATAACACACTCATAGTACTACCAAATAATGGCATCCAAGCATAAATTATCCTCTAGCATTTTGCTCGATATCTCTATCAGTTTTCATCGTATCAAACTGTAGGAGCAAACTAAGCAAAATTTTTTGTTAAGCTTTGAAAGCTGTGCTCTGTGAACGTGCATCAAGACTCTTCAATTAAAACCCTATATAGTTAAAAAATGTAAGTTTGCATGAGTTTTCGAAAATATTTTTGTTTTTCACCGTATTTTTCCAGTTTTTGAAAAGATACGCGCAATTTATCCTGGTATTTTTTCCTGAAGCAAGGTTTTAGTTTGTGCAAATGCCGCTAAATAATTCTATGCAAGGCTAGATGCATTCTGAAGAAGTGCTACTTAGAATAGTTTATGTGGGGAATAGTAAAATAAAGTATAGAAGACATGGACTAGTTCTTTGAAAATTAAATGTTCTACGCAGAGTCTTTTACATAGTGCTTCAGTATCAGCAAGAAACGAGAGCCAGTATCAATGAAAACACTTTGACAGTTATTATTGATAGATTCTCATAGTATTATTATGATAAGTTTTTCCTTTAATATCTGTATTGACCTTTTGTCGAATGTTTTTAGAAAAAAATCCGTTTCGATGCAATAAAAACTGACAGAGTTCTGTTTGAGAATATATGCGAAAAAACAAACAGATCAAGGAATCTTCAGAGCGGATATTATTGTCAAACTAGATTAACTTTGAGATTTGTCCTAAGTATTGTTCGGTCATAATGAGGAATTACAAACTCTCAGTAATTTTATTATTGTATCACTTGAAAGCAGTCTACTCACTCTAGGGAACAATATAAGAACGTGATGAAAAGAGCATGAGGCGGTAGGTCATTACACCGGACATTCATTTCAATACTTCTAAAGTTCGTATTGTACGCAGCGTTTGTCTGTTATTCACTACCACTTCTATATTCACTAAGTTTTTTTT